GGAGTGTGTTGATTGATTGATTGGGCAAATTGAAGTGCTATTACTGTCTAGAAGGAGATTTGCAGAAGATTTATGGGTGAATTATGAGAATTGGTTGATTTGAGAGTTGCAGAATTTGGGGATTTCCTTATTGTGTAGCAGTGAACTGGAATTTGGGAAATAGAGTACAGATTTGTGCAAATTTGGTGATTCAAGAGCAGAGTGGAGTGTTTAGAAGGTTGTTTTCCAGTTTGCACTCTTGGTTGCAGATATGGGACGTCGCAGATATATCCCTCCACCAAGGCAGTTCAAAGTCACTGATCAAAGTGAAGATGGGAAGATTGTTTACCGTTCATGGACGATTGAAGATAGCCACAAGGTGACTGATAAAGACAGCCCAATTCTAGAAGTTCCTCCACAACTTCTAGCGGTCAACATGCCCGCTCGCTTTCACAGGCTGATCACCGGCCAGGTTGGACCCACGATGCGGTCCCGGACTATTGAGATGACTTCTCCAGCTCCGTCTCCACCACAACAGCCTGCTCAAATGCCTACTGAAGAACCTCCATTACCAGATTCAACACCAGTTGTATCACCTGAGAGCAGGCCAGCGAAGAGGAGTCGTCTCCAGCAACCGAGCTCATCTTCCCGACCACAGAGGCCAACTTCTTCTTCTTCTTCGGCACCTGCACCTTCCACGACACCACGTCGTACTACCCTAGTTGCAAGCAAGAAGAAGGCGGCTTCCACTCTTCCAAAGGACGTCTCTAAGACGTTCGGTCAACCTGTCCAGCTCCAGCAACATCAAGAGGAATATGCCGATCTGATGAAACGAGAGGTCACCCCTTCTCAGTTCATGGACTATGCAGCATTGGAGAAGACCGAGCGGGCTGAGGAGGTGATGACATACTTCCGCCGGATGAATTGGGCACGATTTCCGGAGCTGCACTTCCCCACCTATCCACACCTCACCAGAGCATTCTTGGCCACCTACAGCTTTGAGGATAATGGGGTTGAGAGCAAGCTGCAAAGTACTTTGGCAGGGAAAACCAAGTCCCTCACTTTGAGCCAAGTAAACCGAGCACTTCTCTTCGATGGTCCAGCAGATGCAATTCCTGATGAAAAGCAGGACTTGAGTGAGTTTTGGACGACAATTGTGGCAGATGGAAAGGACTTCAATCCTACTTCGTCGAGGAGAGCATCGATCAGAGACCCTGTGATCCCACTAGTACATGACTACCTGGCTCGCACTGTTTTGGGCAAGGGATCCAATGCCAGTGGTGGCTACAAACCCGATCTCAGGTACATTCACAGTTTCGTTACTGGAACACCATTATGTGTTGGGTACATGGTGGGTAAGATGCTTGAAAATGATGCACTGAAAACTTGCGGAGCAATTATGTGTGGGGGAATCATTACTGCATTAGCTCGAGCTTACTGGGGGTTCCCAGAGAACCCTACGGGTTTGGAGATCAGTGATGGCTCGACTCTGCTTGGGGAATCAGCATTAGACAAATTGGGTTTTCTGAAGAAAGCAGGATCTCGTGGTGAATATCTATCCATCGCCAAATACAAGGAGTGGGAGATTAAGGTCAATCGGAAAAGGGCAGCAAGGGCTGCTAGAACAACTTCTGCCTCGGCATCATCTCCCGCACCATCAGTAGTCACTCCGACCACGACTCCAGCTCCTACAACCATGCCTTTGGGTGCTTCATCATCATCACCATCACCAGCAGCAGCAGGGCACTCTGCCACGAGTGTCAGCCAGGGCCAGCAGTCACAAGCACCCCCAGTTCCGCAGCCAGCAGCTACTCCACCAGTTGTGCCAGCTTCATCATCATCTGAAGACGATCTCAGAGCCAGAATAGCTATCTTGGAAGCCAGAGACGCAGAGAAAGATAAGAAGATCAAGGAGCTACACCAGCGTCTAGATGAGAAGTTCGGCACTTCTTCATCGACCCCTCCTTTTTAGGAGCTTGTCCCGAGGTTCTTTTTTCTTTTCTGTTCTTCTTTTCTTTGTGAATACTTCTGATGTGGGTCTGTAATAATGTTAGTTAGGTGAACCTGTTGGTGTGTCGTGTGTAGTTGTAGACATTGTGGACAATGTCCATCCTGAGTGTGGGGTGGATGGTCTGTGTTCTTGTCGTGTTTTATGTCGAGTCTGAGTTGTCCACAGTGTCTCGTCATGTGTCAAAAAAAAAAAATTGCCATTAGGTTGAGCACAGCCAGCTGCATGCAGTTTGCCTGTGTAAAAAGCAGGCTGCCTGTGCAAAGCTAATGGCTAAAAAACACCTAAAAAACAGAAAAATTAAAACAAAACCTTGTACTCTTGTGGTAACATGATGTAAATGACTGTGATACATGTGAAATGAGTTTGTGCTTGAATGAAATCATCGAAATCACCCCCACTAGTGTTGAATTGCAAAGTTCTTCACAATGAGCTTGATGTTTTGACTGACTTGATATGCTTTGAATTAGCAAACTCTTTTAGCAACATTCTATTTTGTGAGGATAGTGTAATGACTTTTGGTGAAGTAGTTAGGTGGAGAACACTGACCATTCGACATGTTTGGATACCGTGCTTACTTGCATCAATTGTGAGCTTTTGATTTTGCAATGAGTCTCTCTGTTTTGAATGTTTTATGATGGGGTGAACTGTATCTTTATAAAAGAAAACACTACCTGACAAGTAAAATATAAGGAAGTTGCCATAACAATTAAAGTGTGGGTAAAATGCCAAAATCGTATGAGGCAATCACTCATTGCATATGGGGATGAGGAAAGATTCAATTGAGAATCGGTTCGCGACCGTACGATGTTGCTTATCAAGTACGATCCCCAGTTGAGTGAAGTGCCATTTGAGGATGCAATGACCCTCCACACGGACCGAGGAAAAGGAGTTGAAAGAAGCCCTTATGCGAGTGCTAAGAAGCAGAAATTGCTCTTGCTCGGTCACCGGTAGTAAGAAACAAACCCACTTGTACTAAATACGACTTCTCGGCAAGCAAAAGCAGAAAGAGAGAAAGCCTCTCCTTGTCATAAAAGGTAGTGATGTGCTTAAAGTAAAATCATGTTTGCGAAAGGCTTCCCCCATTAGTTTTTGAGACTCATGCTTAATTAATTGCTTATGATTGGTGTGAGTAAGCCAGACTGTCCTGACGAGATATGCACCTCACTGATGTGGTTAGATTCTCCTAATAATTGTTGCACCATAAGTTGTTAACCACCCACTACTGACGATCGAAATTGAGTGTTGCTATTTGAGTTTTTGATGGATTTGAGTCAGTCAATGGTAATGGTTGCAAAGAACTTGAGTGTGGGGTGAAAGGTATGACCATTAAAGCACATCTTGTCCGTTGAGAAAGAAACTACTGATTTCAACAAGAGTACAAGGCAATTTTGTGTTTTGTTTGAGTGTTGAGTCTGTGGTGTGTCATTGTTTTGGATGGTTATGTGTTTCTGTCTTTTGAGTCGTTGCTTAGGGACAATCAACAATTGAGTGTGGGGTTGTGATAATCGGCTTTAACATATGGAATTCTTGGACTTTATATGATTATCTCATGATATGTTTAAGCCAATTCGTGCTATTTTAGGGCTCCCTAACCCGAGAATGGTTGAAAAACCATTACTGCCTAGTGCCATGAGTTTGATGTATTACAGGTGGAGAAAGCACGATAAAGGAGCGAGTGCACAAGCAATAAATCGGGCTCGAATTACTGGTGGACTACTCACTTGGGCTAAAGGCCCAGAGGACTTGGCTGGAGGATGTGATGTTGGGCCGGACAGAATTGGAATGGGCGGCATGGAATTGGATTTGGGCTCTCGGACGTAAATTTAAAGGAAGAGGGCCATTCTTTTGATTTACTGGGACAAGGCTGGGCGGCGGGACAAGGAGAAAAGGAAGGGAATGATACTGGGACAGGGAATTGAAAAAAAAAAGATAGAAAGGGAAGGAGGACTCTCGGCAGCTAATTTGGGGGGGGGGGACACGAAAAGCTGGGGAAAAGAGAGTAGTCTCGAGCAATTAATTTTTTTGGGAGAAAAAGCAAAGGGAACAGGCAGCGCGACAACAGGCGATTGGCGATTAACGATCGACTTCTCTGGGCAGTGTGAGCTTATTTCAACAAGAACAAGTGGTTTGGTTTGATTTTTTCTAGTCTGAATTATTTGTTTATTGTTGATTTAGAACATGATGAACAAAACCCCATTGTTTTATCTTAATTTCGTTATGAACTAAACCCCAATTTCTGGGGGAAACACCATAGGATGTAGCTATGTCTTGATTTGATGGATTGATTCAAGATTCTTTTCTTCCAATCTCTATTGCATGAAATTGCTTAATGCTTTGTGTTGACTGGCCACCAATACAATGAATCGTAGTTAATTAGGTTATTAGCGGCAGTGAAACCCTAATAAGTGAACCTATTTCATGTGACATAGTAACTTATCGAAGCGACAGTGGATTAAATAATATGCTATGTGGTCTTGAATAGGATATCGATCTTCAGGCTAAATAATTAAGTCATTGAGCTACGACAGTAGGATTTGATTAAATTATTTAGTACGTAGTAATTCCCGACAGGGATAGCTAGCACAATAGTGATATCCTGGTTGTAGAGATATGGATTAAATTGATTGGAATATGTGAATTAATCTGGATAGGATAGGTAGTGAATCCCGGTGTTTCTCCCAGAGCTTCTCCCATTGAATTTCTCCAGACCAATTTACTTTGCTTAATTAGTTTAATTATTCTGCCATTAGATAATAGTTTCATCACTCAAATCATTTTCACCTATAGTTTGCTCCACAGAATTGATAGAATATAAGGTTGTACCAGTCCCTGAGAGACGATACCCGGACTTTCCAGTTTACTACAAGATAGGATTAAGGCATATACGCTTTTGCCCTATCAAGTTTTTGCGTCCTCCTTGGCACATGCGCCCTACCGGAGCAGAACATGAGCACCGAGCTCATTCGAAATATGTGCCACACTGGAGGCATATCTTCTCTAGGCCCTCATACTAAATGAAACATTTCTTTCCATGAATCGTGAACTGTGAGAGAAGAGGCTTCGTTATATCCACTTGGACACACACCCGTGCGTAATCACTCCGTGCTCCCGTGCTTGTCGCGTGGTCAACACGGATCGATTTTCCTATGCGCTGTCCAATTTTCATTACCGCGACAGGATGGAATTAATGAATTGGCATCTCCAATAACCTAGCCCACAAAAGCGTTGATGAAATTTCATGGTTGTAGGGATCAAAATCCTTCGTCCAAGGATGCACCGTGAGATAATTGTCCCCGACCAACCATGGCCCTCCTGTGACTGCTCTCTAATAATCAATTCCTCTTGTGAATCGCACTAGGAAGTAACCGTTCTTGGCCGACGTGACTTGGATAGCTCCTACTTTGGCCTAGATCGTTTGTAGGCACTTTAGCATGAGTGTCTAGGAGACTGATCTCCCCATAGCTTTCACAACCAATGTAGATCGCCAGTCACGGTAGAACAATCTTTCCTCCGCTGCAGTGCAGTGGATCGGTGGGCACATGGGATCCTCTTCCCCATTGAATCCCGTTTCCAGCTCATCCTGCTGTATGGCCGCCGCAACATCTTCAGAGTCTGAGTCTGCAACATACCACATGTCCGTTTGAACAGCATCGCTAAAGAGTTTGCATGCAGCTCCCGTCCCAGTACACCAAGCTGTAGGTTGCTTGGATGTCGTTGTGTTGGTCCCTTGACCACCGACGAAGTCTTCAGCGATGCTTCCTCCTCGTCGAGCTCTATCCCTGCCGAATCTGACGTTTGCTTTGCTCGCTTCTTCGTCTGTTGGGCCTTGCGATATCCCTTAGGATTGGGTGACGATGACGCGGAGGGAGGGCGCCGCTGTCCCGCCATCGTTTCAGGAGCCATATTAGTATCCATGACCTCCCTGGCCAGCGGCTTTGCCACGACCGGCAAGGGTGAGCAGAAAAACCATAAATTGCTCGCCGTCTCTCGATTTGTCGCCCGCTCTTAGAATTTCGGAGCGAAACTTTTTCCTTGAAATTTCACATAATCTTCCTAACCTTTATTACTAATCAAAAAGATCATACGCTCATTCTTGCTGTCTTCTATCAATTTTCAATTTCTTCTTCCTATAATATTGGGGTTGTGGAAATTTACTGAATAAACTCTGCCTCATTTAGGTTATAATGGCTAGTGGATAAAATTTAGTGAATAAACTCTGCCTCATTTAGGACGTTGTATGCTTACTCATAGAATTTTACTGAATAAAATTTACTTAAACACACTCCATCACTTCATGTTCTCCTTAAAAAGTCCTCCCATCTTTAGTCTGCAACTTCTTAATAGTATTTCTAGTTCTTAGTTAATCCATCATTGATCTTTGTTTCCAAAGTAATTGTTTTTTGTATATCGGTCTGATTTTTTAGCTTGAAATTTTTTTGCCTTTATTCAATAACTTATGCTGACATTGTAATTTCGATAACTACTTTTGGATCTGCATGATCCTCTGATGTATCATTAATTTTGATTTTATATATTTTTATGTATGCTTTAAGTGTGTCCAAATTTATCCAATATTAAAATTTTTCATGCGAAAATATAAGTTTTTTCCATAGTAAGTCCATGGTGGATATGGGTATCGGGATATTTTAGACACTCAATTAGGATTTGTTAGCCAATAAATGTTTGCATATATTGGTTAACTCAGAGTCGCCTCTTGTTTGAATTCGTAAATGAATAAATTTTAATCAAGATACAATATTTTTTTTGGGCGGGAACGTGTGCTATCCAAATTCTTCCAATCTATAATTCTATATATGGTAATGTCTAAAGGTGATCTTGTGACAAGACCATCTATTATAATATTCTGTTAAAACTTGTTCAATATATGTACTTAACTAATGGCAAATGAGTTTTAAAATATGAAAACACATTGATAAACCTTCTTGATCTTTTTTTATGGGCAATATAATTTTTTTTATGAAAGCTCAATGCAATCCCCTATTAATGGAGGGGTAGCATTCTTGATCATTTGCAGCGACTGCAAAAAAACAGAGACTAACAGAACTCTCCTTTCTATCGTCACACTTCTACCACTAATCTACTACACTGCTATCTACAAAAACACCTTGCTACAATCAGAATGAAGATCCACATTGCCACTTCTTGCTAGTTCAATCAACCTTCTAACTGAATGAATTATCTCACTGCTTGGTTTGCTTTGCTTTCCATGCACCCTTGAACACCGTTACGCCATACCAAACTCACAACAACATTCCAGTTCCAGACCAGCCTTCCCACCAAAGCCACTGCCTTCTTACCCTTGAACTTTTTGAATGACCAAACCAGATATTCATCATAACTAGTGAAACATGGACAGGTTAATTGAAACATTTGCATACACCCTTGTAGTACACTCACAGAGTAGGGACATGCAAAGAATAGATGGTCTCTGTTCTCTTGATAAATAGAACGAAAAAGACAAGTATCATCACCAACTTCACCCCCAGCATTTCAGCTTGTCCAGCGTAGTAATTGTGTTTTTAACCACAAGCCAAGATATAAAACTATGCCTTGGAATCATATACCTGCACCAAATCAGTTTGAACCATGCCACTTGTTGTCTAGATGGTTGTAAGTCCCTCCAGACAGTCTGAACAGAGTACTGATTCATTCTCTTATTGTTCCAGAACACTTGTGCCCCCCCAACAATTGAAATAGCCTTCCACTTTGTCCCTGACCTTCAATATCCTTTTCCATACCCATGAACAAGTACTCCCTGCTGTTAGTGCCCAGTAAGAGTCATTTTTTATTCTATATAGGTATATCCAAGCCACCCACCAAGACCCTCCATGTGTTACTGTTACCTTCTTGATCTTTCTATATGCTTTTTTATACAATTTTTTTTTTTTTGTTAGAATCACATGCATTCGTTTCAAGTCAAATTAGACATGACATTGTTTCAATTCATAAGGAAAAAAGAAGAAGATAATACAAATGTTAATTTTCAAAGCATTGCATGATAATAAAATAAAAAAAGAGATTGATTGATAAGGAAATAACCTTACCTACACAGTGAAAGCTGATTTCCCCCCCTTTTCTTGAATCTTCCAAACTATGAGTTGGGTGTCGACCAAATATTGAAACCCCAACCCCATGTACAACAAGGAAGCTCTTCATTGGATAAGGTTTGGTGGGGAGCAGAATAAACTATATTATTCCATGCATACTGATGAGACCAATCTTAATCAAGTTATATCCATGTCACCACTCTGTTGCTTTGCGCCAATAACAAATGCACAAACGTCGTATAATGTCGACCCAAGAGGCCAAGACATATGTCATATAAGATGGGATGGGATAACCCATTATGCGTACAATTTTCCAAGGAAGCAATATTCGCGAATGCCATTACTACAGACAAAGAAGGTTTAGTAATCAAATGAATATGTCTGGGGAATCTAATGACGAAGGTCTAATGATCTAATCCACAAATTCTTGTCAGATGATTTCAGTGTGATTTGGGTGCAATCCAATGTTTTCTTAACGATGAGTCTCTATTAACTAAAACATCATGTACACTTCAATTGAAGTTCAAAAAGGTTTCACCATATATCTCGTAGTTATAGTCACACACGAGGGAAATCGATTATCTCAATGTTTTGTTTCTTGGTTCGTGAATGAGAGAAGGATGGCGATTCATTTTTTTATAATTTGGATAATTTGGAGGAATCAGGGTGTAATTGAACTTTAATATGTCTCGGTTTATAAAAAAAATCAATATTTTGAAATACAAGAATATATCGTCTATAATGTAATAAATATCTTATTCCTTAACAACAGGATGTTCATATGTTCCAATTAATAAACCTATCATCAACTCGAATAAATAATTTTTTTCCAAATTTCAAAAATGTCTCTAAAACTCCAATGTACACCCACTCCGTTTATTTATAATTCTAGCCATTTATTAGGTGCCAACTACATGCATTTTAGTCTAATCAATGGATTCTTAGTGATACTAACGAATTTTAGCACCTCATCCACTCACCAGCCGACTATCCTCTCCACCAGCACCCAATCCAATTCCACATATGTCTTTTTTTTTTTTTTTTGACAAAAGATAATCAATAGATTGAAATCAATAGATCGTTACATCCTGGAAAACAGCCAGGCCTGGAAATCAAACAAACGACAAGCAGTCGGGGACAAAGACAGGGCCTGTCTAGCTACCAAGTGAGCTACCCTATTGTTCCGCCGTCCTACAAATCGCACAGTCAACCCTATGTTGGAATCAAAAAAATTCACTATCTCCTCCAGGATGACTCCTATGCTACTATCCCGGGTATCCCTCCGCCGAATTTTCTCAATTATCACCTGGGCGTCACCTTCAAACCTCATGGCAGTGAACCCATTGGCCAAACACCAGCCAATCGCCTCCCGGAGGGCCAGAGCTTCCACCAGCATTGGATCATCCATACACGGGAAGTGAACCCCCTTAGCAAGGATGATCTCTCTGCCAGAATTGAGTACAACCATCCCCCCTGCCGCATGCGAACCCAATCGCACCGCCCCATCCCACATACAAATCGCCATGTTCTCTCCAGTCTGGGTTATGGGCGGGGCCGGGAGGCGACTAATCTGAGCAGGCATTTCCCTGGGTAAACTAAGCCATTCCTGTAATTGCTGGTAGTACTGACGCATCAAGGCAGGGATACCGAACTGCTTACCTTCAAAAACCACCCAATTCCGGGAGCGCCAAATCCGCCACAGAACCGCCACTACAGACATAACCAGAGCAGGGCTATGCACCATACTCAAGACATTCTTCAGAAATAGGGGGAACGTATGACGGGGCAAACCCTCACCCAAGTGGGTTAGCCCAGAATGATCCCATACTGCACGAGCCACCGGACATTCCAAGAACAAATGTTCCAGCGTTTCCGATGCCTCCCAGCATACCGGACATCGAGGCATAACCTCCACCTTCCTCTCACGCAAAGCTTCAGTAGTTGGAAGAATTCTATGAAATATTTGCCAAACAAACACCCGGAGCTTCGGTGGAATATCCGCCTCCCACAACCTGATCCAGCTTGGCTTATCCATCCAACTCGCCAGAGCCCTCCATGGCCCATTCAGCCGATCCAAATTCACCGCGACATAATACGC